CTGCTGCACTTGCAATAGCCGCAGTATGAACAGCAGCAGCAACAGGAGCAGCAGCAACTGTTGCACTTGCAACAGCAGCAACTGCTGCACTTGCAATAGCCGCAGTATGAACAGCAGCAGCAACAGGAGCAGCAGCAACAGGAGGAACAGCAACAGCTACAGGAGCAGCAGCAACAGCAACAGGAGCAGCAGCAACAGCAACAGGAGCAGCAGTACGTGCCACGCCCGCTTCCTGGCTAAACTCTCCAACAAGCTGAGTGATCGTTGTGCCCCCTGCTCTCCATATACCCTATATACATACATACTATGTATATTTATATACAGCTGTTCCTGCCTTTGCGAATATACTAAATTCAGAGTGCTCGACCCAAATATGTATGTATATATGTACAAAAGGCATACCTCTAGGGCACATGCGCCCAGATTAGCCAGTTTCAAACTTTAGATCTTTGTAGACTATAGCTATTCGAACGCAATCTCCCATAGCTCTTGACTACATTTCGAGACAAAGAATCAAAGACAAAGCTGCAATTATAATTTCGAATTGTCAATGCGCAATTTGCAATTTTTCGCAATAGTTTCGAATATCTACTTTGAATCGATCTTTGATATACAAGCATTACGAGCTCACTAACACCACAGCTTCACAAAGCTTTTGGCTAAATCCGAAAATCTAGCGAAAGGAGCATTGATTCAATATCGAAATCATTATCGGATTTGAAATCTATATCAAGCTATAACTGAAAATTCAATATAAAACTATTGACATAGGCCGATTTATTCGATTTATGGAGGTTTTCCAAGGGAAACATCGTATTTAGACCTAGAACTTGGCGCTCAAATTTCTTGAGCTAGCTTCCAGTATCTACGATGAAAATCCACAAACCAAATTTCATATAGATACAAAAAATATTTCGAAATCGACCAATTTCGAACTTTCAATAACAAACTAATTTTCATTCGATTCTTTTCATATGCTGAATGTCAAATTTTTCGTTGCCTGCTTTTCGGCGCAACAAGCGTGAGCTGAAAGAGAGCAGAGAAATGAGTATATGTATGTGTGTATATGTGAGTAAATGTGTGCGTGTATGAATATGTTGATTCATATAGTGTGTATGTATTAGCGAAATAAAATGCATTGCTTTCAGAATTGTACTTTCAAATTCCTTACATTTATTTGCTTGCTCAGCTTAAAAAAAAAAAATAATTGAATAAAATTAAATCGAACTTTAACAAACACGATTTTCTTTTCATTTCGTTTCATTTATTTTAACTAGTTGCTAGGGAGCTGTGTATGTGAGTGGGAGAGTTCAAATTTGTGGGAGTGTGAGTTAAACACGTGTGCAGATAGTGTAGCGGAATGGAGGGCAGACAGAGATGCCAGCTGTACATGCTAAGGCCTATGTAGCTGGCATCTAAATTGATGTATATATATACTTAAATATATATATACCTTTGTATACATATACAGAATGAATGTGTATCTAGTGTATATTTCATCAGATTTGTTTGTGTAAGTCAAAATACATATGTAGTGATATACATACATACATATATATATATATTTTATAGACGGCTCTGTCCGAAGAGCCATCAAATAAACACATATGTATATCAATCAAGATATATATGAATTTATAAACCAGTATTATACATGGCGTGTGTCTTTTGTATATATGTGTGTGTGTGTGAGTGGGAGTGATTAGCTAAAGCTATGCCTAAATATGATATACACTTATTCAACTGAACATTAACAAACTTATTTTGTTGTCATGGATTAACTATATAATTTATGGAGGTTTTCTTAACCAATTTTGACTCCTATTCCGACTCTGACTTCTGCTATCAAATATATATATATATATATACATCTATATATATATATATTCATTCATGTGTATGTGTATGATTGTGTGTGTGTGTGTGATTTAGCCAATTATTTTTGGCGGTCTTTCATAATTATAGCTAGTTTTTGGTATCGGCTTCTGTAACATTTTCCGCCCCCTGAATATGGTCCTGTTCCTGCTCCTGCTGCTGCTGCTCGGATTCATTCTTCTGCTCCAGTTCCTGCTGCGATTTTTGCAGCTGATCCAGTTTCCCGTCTACGTCCACATCACTAGAAGGCGTTTGAGTTGTCGCCTCGGTCATTGTCGCCGGATGATATATAGCCTTGCTTTCGCGCTGCATCGATCTGTCGCGCTTGTGTTTCGACTTCTGTCGA